GGGGATCTGAGGACGGCAATCTGTCATCAGAACAATAACAGGCAATACAGTTAAGTCAAGAACTGTATTGAACAAAATGAAAAAAAATGCCCGAGGTTTAAGAGTCATTTGAGTGAAAAATGCGAACACACGCCAATGAAATAATGCCACTGTCACAGTTCTACCAGCAGAACTCACATCATTCCGAAGTTCAGGCTTGCCCCTCCTTTCAACCTAACCTAAACTAATCACAGACACATAATATACCTTATTTTCTATTCACAAATTCAACAGAGAACATTGCCTTCAATCTTAGTGAGCCTATATCTCAGTTATAGAGATAACTGAGCATATCGATAATTCTGTGTGTGTCATAAATTTTCTCAATCTTCAATCCCTCTCAAGAGTATGTAAAATATTTTGAACATTGTTTTTGTTGACATTACTGAGAAACATTAAAATATGTATAAACAAGTAAGCAAAGGCTACAGTCGAGCGGGGCCGACCGTTGAATACCCTACAACACTATAATAAACGATACAGTTTATATAGGCGAGATACTCGAAAGAATTCCACAAGATATTGTGACAAATAATAAAAGAAAATCTGATGGTTTCGTTCTCTAATTTTCGAATAATAGCAACTTTAACTAAGTTGCTCATTTCCAATTTATTGGAAGATGTTGCACGTAAATGGTCTTCCTAGATCTGAAACCAATATTTCCCAAAGACCTATAATCTCTCAGAAGTGGCAAAAGATTTGACTGAAACGCATCTATATGAGATACAGACATTTGACTATATTCTTCAACGAAATCAGCGTTAACGAAATAGTCAGAAGTGTGTCTTTCCTGTATTTGTGAATTCTCCAAAAAGTCACTAGAATGGACCTTTTCGTATTATGTCTACAAAAGTTGGCAAACTTTCATTTCACACATTGAATATTTTTGGATGGCCATCCAAAACTGCTTGGCTTTTTGCAATGTCCGGTAATCCCCATTCAAATGTGCGTGAGGATCGGGCAATAATTACGACCTGCTAACAATTTTGTCCATTTCAACCCCTAAATATATGGCGATCATCTCCAAAAAGAGTAGGCTTCTATTCTGACCCTCATCTGATCCCCATGCAAAATTTCGTTAGGATCGGGCCATAAATGCGATCTGTATATGATATCCTGATATCCTAACTACTTAGTTTTGTTAGCTGTAGAAATATTACCAAATGTTTAATTCAAAATGAAAATATGCCAAAAATATGACAAAATTGAAATAATATGAGAAAATGTTACAAAACCAATATTTTCATCTTTAGAGAGATATTTTTATGCGATTTTTTAGACGTTGTTTCTTTCCTGCCAAGAGGCCATTCTGAATTAATGAGAACTGTCGAAATCAGTTCAGCCGTTCTCGACATATAAGAGTTCTTTCAAGCATATCTTCTTTCACAAACATATATATCGCACATATTTTGCTATATATCCGTTTTGTTGGATGTTAACATCAATGTAAAGATCAGGAGTAACCTTGTCATCGCTTTGTGATTTCGCCGGGATTTAAAATATTCGCGGTTTAATGAAAAATTTTGAATTTTTTCAACACAAAAGATAGGGTCTATTTTACCCGCTAAATATTATCCGATGACCACCCAAATTGGTAGGCTTCTTCCCCGCACTAAACTCTAGCTACAAGCGAAGGTCCGCGTCGTTTGTTCTATAATTGCGACCTGTATAGCTACTGCAAAATCCGACATTTTTTCAGTTTTTGGTCCATTTCGACACCTAAATATTATGCGATTATCTCCAAAAGAAATAGGGTTCTATTCTGACCCTAGCCCCACCTCCATTCTAAATTTCGTGAAGATCGGGCCATAATTGCGACCTGTAGAGTGATTACAAATTAACATGGACAGACGGACAGACGGACGGACGGACATACATAGCTAGATCGACTCAACTCGGCGAGATAGGAAGATCCATATATACTTTCCTATGTGGGAAATCAATATTTCGAGGTGTTACATAATTTTTGGCCCAATCAAACTTATAATACCCCCAACACATAGTGTTGTAGGGTATAAAAATATATGCTACTGATATTGAAAATCTTCGTTCGTTTTTATTACAACATTGGATCACTATTAAGCCTTAGTCTATTAAGAAGTATTTAAGGGTCTATAAAAACTCTTAAGTATATATTAGTTTTAATTAAAATCAAAAAAGTTCAACCAAGCTCTTTACAATGTCCCACGTCTAACCTACAGAGTAGTGTAAATTTTCCAAAATGTTTATTATCTCTTGAACCTTCCCTTCTCTGAAAATTAACAACAGCAAATGTATCTCTCGAATGATATTAGTAAATGTGTAAGCTATTTTTGTATTATTCGTAGCTCTCTTTACGCCTCTCTCTTTCTCTATTTATTACTCTTTGTACCTGTCAACTAGACTGTTGTAACGTTATAACGTTGTGGCGCTTTTTATTATAACTATTGCTAATGCTGCTTCCTTTCCAGTTACCAACTAATGTGAACTGACACCTAAGTACATATCTCTAATGCCTTGATGCCAGAAGCTTACCTTTATTGCAAATCTTAGTTAAAAGTCAATTGTTTATTCAGCTTTTTTGGCACTCAACTGTATTTATATAAGCTACTCTCTTTCTCTAACATATGATTTTCTGCTCCCAAAAAGTAATTGAACACGCGCTTTCAATAGATCACTGCTTTAAACAAGAATTTAATTTTTTAGATTTACTTCCTTCAAACTTGATTTAATTTGATACTCTTCATTCACCTATTCTAACAACTTTTGTATTATATTTATTTTTATCAGTAAAAAAAAAAAAAATATCAGTAAAAAATTCTGCAAATGTATGAGAATAGAAATCAAATGCAAACAAACTATTTAGTAAAATGAATTAAGCAAAATGTTGAAATAAGTTGTGAATTAAAGGGAACATAAATCGAGACAAATTTGAATTTGCACATAATACCTTTATCATGCGACGGATGCCCGTGGGCACATGGAGATTGTAAATAACGCATAAGCTCCCAGGGGCTCCCTATGAATGCAATTATCTCCTGTAAGTGTCCGTGTTGAAAACCAATCTATATGATATTTCATGTTACCAATGAAAAGCAAAATATCCTTAAAAATCATAAAATAGGGTCCAATGCTGTGCTATATATCATGGTTACAAATTTCTTTCTTATAAGCAAATTTGATTTGAAAAATTTTGTCGTTTGACGACACTATTGTCAAAAAATTTAGGGTTTTCGGAGATTTTTCCAAAGTTTTAAAACGTTTCAATTCAACAGTCAAAAATGTAAACAAATAATTTCTATATAAAATACAGAAATTTATACCGCAATTTTTATAAAAAGTATTATACCTAGATATACAGGGTGAGATAAAAAAAACTGCAACAAAGTCAAACGCCATCATTTTTACTTTTTTTAATTTTTTATTTGAATGTAAGCAAACAATGTCGGATATAGCATCAAATTTTAGAATAAGTTTAGATTTGTTCGAATTGGTCCCCATTGGCACGAATTATGACCTTCAAACGGCCAATTAAAACGTCACACGCTGTCCGAATGTTGCTCTGCGATATTTTGGCCCGATCGACACTTTGGTATTTTTTATTGTCAACCTTGCTTTCCAAAATACTCCAGACACAATAGTCCAATGGACGCTGTACGCTTCTCCGGATACCGGAGATTTTTGTGGTCATTGTATGCTGGAAATGAAGCGAGGAACCTCATTATCTAACCATTCTTGGGTGGCGCGTTCTGAGTGCGATGGTCCTGAGTCCTGTTGGAATGTCCAAGATCTGCGGCAAAAATATTTGCGTGCCCAAGGCTTTAATACACCATACAGAATATTTTCGCGATAATATTCGGCATTTATTCTGATGGTCGATTAATATGAGCGGAGGGCGACAATCGGCTGTTATGGCGGCCCACACCATCACCATGGACGGCGCTTGAGTTCTGGTGGCCAAACGAAGATGAACATTTTCAGCTGACCTCTTTGGCAAGTAAACGCGATCAGTTTGTTTGTTTACAAACTCCTGGACAACGAATGTTTTCTCATCGGAGAAAACCAAATTCAGCAGTTCACCACTTTCGGCCAAGCAACTCTTTAGCTCTTTTGAGTCTATTTTCTTTCCGTTGCGGCCAAGCTAAGCAACTCTTTAGCTCCTTTGAGTCTATTTTCTTTCCGTTGCGGTGTAAGTTCTTGCACTTTTTGGAATTTCAATGGCTTTACCCCGAGCTTATTTTTCAATATTTGACGAATGGAATATTGAGATATGTTCAGCTCACAAGCCATTTTTCGGCCACAAGTCGCTTCTTTACTTTTCGAACCATTTCGGCTAATGTTGCTGTTTTCTTCCGTCCACTTCCTTGACGCCAGGCTACGCTAACGAGCGATGGTACGAGACACAAATGATTTATTCAAATTCTCACCAAAATGCTTTTGTACGCTTCTAAATACTATAATGAGCTGTCACTGGAATAATGTTAATGAATAATGTGGCTTAGAAATTACAGCAGTCTGAAATTCGTTGCAGTTGTTTCATCTCACCCTGTATACTTTTATACATCGCAATAGAAGAGAGAATTTCAACAAAATGTGAAGAGAGGATAACATTTACCACCGCCTCGTTAGTTAAATGTTGCAAAAATGTTGCATTTTCCAAAAATTTAAAAATTATTGTAACTTCCCCGCCCTATTCTACCTACCCTCCGATATTAACTTTCAAAACGCTTTTATAAGTGTCTCATAAAGGAACCCATTTGCGTTTGACAACAAATCCTTAAAATAACACAACAGCTTATTTCAACATGCTTAATTTCATATTATTATATATTTCTAGGGCTCTAACATCTTATTGCAATTATTTAGAGTACTAACTTTTGTAAATTACAATAACTACAAGATTTACTAATACTTGCTTTTTTTCTCAATTTATATTTCCCAAAACTGTCAAAAAAAAAAATATGTAAAACCATCAAATATAGATGGGGTCGAGGTCCTCGCCACGGTTCGTTAGCCGGTCATCATCCCACCATTATCGATTATCGGACGGGATACATAAGGTCCCATCTTCGGTCACCCTCTGGCCGTGTGAGATGACTGATTTGTCGCCAACTGGGTTTCTACAACAGCAACAAAGCAATCATAATACAACAGGTACAACAACTACAACCGCCAGCAGTAGTAGCCGACATCAGCAGCAGCAACAACACCACCTCCATCATCATCATCATCATGGTGGTCATGTCCCACACGGACATGGTCATTTGTATTCAAGCCTATCGCTTTCATCTTCCGGCGGTGGTGGTGGCATTGGTATTCCCGGTATTGTGGGATCAACTTCAGCTGGTATTGGAGGCAGTAGTGGCGGATCTGTGCACCATGCTACAAACAGTCATAGCAGCAGCATACGTGCTCCTCCAGTTGGCAGTGGTGGTGGCCGTTTATTTTCATATTTTGGCAATGATCACGAACATGAACGTAAAAAATCTGAAACATCATTTTTCAATTTGGGTTTTCGTCGTAAATCTACAGTGGTTTATTATGCGGCCACCGACTAATCCCGCAGATGGTGAGGCAACGGCAATGGCAGCGCGGACAACTGCAATGCTCATTAAGTCCCTGATTGGCTTTATAACCATTTAATATGGCGTCGGCGGCAGGGACAATAAATTGTATCGTAATTTAAGTAAAAAAGTATTTAAATAAGCACACACACACACACAACCATACAAATCCAGGCAATTATTATCAAATTAAAAAAAATAAATACAAAAACATTCGAAGTTAGTAAAGTTGTGGGTGAAAATTTAAACAATGTTTTAAAAAATATTCGTCTTTAAAAGAATCAATGTTTATTATTAAGAATATTAAAACTGATTTAAATAATAGAGAAAACCAAAGAATACTAAAATGATTTCACACATACAATGAAACCAACAAATATTAAAATAAAATATAAGCAAAGTTTCTCATTTTTCTTATATTAAAAAAATTGAAAAAAAAAACATCACCGGGAATACTCTTTTAATTTTTGTATAAAAGATACAATGGACAACAGTGAACCCATATAAATTTTGAAAAGTTCAAAACGTAGTTATGTACCCATTCATTTAGGCCGAAATCTTTTATCCACAAATATTGTGAAAAGACGAAGACATTATTTTCAAAAGCTCTCTGAGGTTCGAAGAAATCAGATTGGGTTTGGGTTTATATATAAATCAAATTTGTCTATAAAAAGTAAAATTAGGAAATTAAAATATTTGAAAATATGCCAGAAGGCATGTTATGGCTCCCAGCCATCTTGAAGACCAAAACGATTTTATCACACCTCAAAATATACATTTTAGTCCCCACAAAGTATATATATTCTTGATCAGCATAAAACTCTATGTCGATTTAGCGATGTCTGTCCGTCTGTGAAAATCACTCTAGCTTCTGAACGCAATAAAGTAGGTTGATAAAATTTTACTCAAATGTAAATTATGTCTGCAGGACTTTTGGTATCGAAAATGGACCATGTAGGTCCATGTTTTGATGTAGCCCCCATATAACGGTACCTTCCTTTTTTCGGTATTTTGATTATTTTATTCACCAGAATTGTTTCGAATTTGGTATTTTAAGTTCGTAATGGATACTACAGCCTAAGACAGAAAATTGTTCGTGCAGGTCCACGCCTTCTTATAGCCGCCATGTAACGGTACCTCCCGATATTTGGTATTTTGATGATTTTAGCGACATTATTCACCGGAACTGTTTCAAATTTGGTACTAGAAGATCGTAATGGGTACTACAGCCTAAGACAGAAAATTGTGTAGGTCCTCGTTTTGATATACCCCCCATATAACGGTATCTCCCGATATTCGGTTTTTTGATGATTTAAGCGACATTATTCATCGGAATTGTTTCAAATTTGGTATTTGAAGTTCGTAATAGATACTACAGCCTATGACAGAAAATTGTCTGTGCAGGTCGCCGCCTTCGTATAACCCTCATATAACGGCACCTTCCTATATTTGATATTTTGATGATTTTAGCTACATTATTCACCGAATTTTTTTTTTCAAGTTTTGCATTTGAATTTTGCAATGACTTATGACAAAAATTGCCTGTACAGGCCCACGTCGTCGCATAGACCCTAATATAATGGCTACATTCAGTATTTTTAAGATTTTAACAGAATTTTTAAAGGATTTTATTTTTTGAAAAATTCCAAATACGCTCCAAATCGTGGAGAGTTTTTTACTTGTTTAATCATATCCAGTTTCCATTCTAAGACAAAATCTCCCATAATACTTCATTAATTGCGAATGCTTCCAAAGGAAGAAATATTCTATTTCAAATTTCATTGTTAAACTTGGAATAAAAGAAATTTCATACCTCATATGTACCGTGAAAAAATATCCTCAATTGTGGTTCATGAAAAACATTTTTATATTTTCATTATAGTTATTACGTGGATTTTGGCCATATTTTTCAATCGATCGACTTCTTCGTTCACTATGCATGGGATTTATGATTATAAGGCTTTATTTAAAATAATTCTATAACTTTCATTTTAAAAAAAATAAAAGAAAATTATATTATGCATTTAATGAAAAAAAAACGTTGGTAATCAAAGAGGTCAATATTAAATAAAAAACCCACAAAACACTGTAATTTATCTCAAATGAACAAAAAACCAAAATTTATTGAAAATTTAAAGTTTCAATTGTTAACACACAATTTTATTGTTACATTTTTTTAAATTAATTTTCATAAGCAAGGAAATTATATTAAATGTTAGACAATTATTAATATTCACAAATACCAATAACTGTTAATTTGTAAAATGCAATTGTAATATTTTATAAAAGAAAAAAAAACAAAATTAATACATGTTACTACTATCTAAAACTATAAATAAATTTTAGAATGAAAACAACAACAACAAGGACGTAAAGAGAACAACAACAACCATTAATAACTGATTTGTGATAATTTGGAATTATTATTCGTTTATTTTTAAAATTTAAACACAAATGTTAATTGTTATTTTTTAGTAATAATTGTAATGATAATTAACGTAAGAATGAATTGTTTTAATTATTTATGAATTAAGATCTGCAAAAGTAATTGAATTCGAACTAAGAAAAAAAATTAAATTTTAAGGAATACCCATTACTCAAATTATGACTACTCATGAAAATAATAATAATAATAAAAAATAAAAAAAACAAAAAATAAGAAATCGAATAAATTGAAACTATAGTCAATCTTATTACAGATATGAAATGAACTATGAAATAGTGTTTTATTAACAACTCGAAATATTGGTCCCCGACATAGGAAACTATAAATGGATCTTCCCAAAAATAATTTTTGCCAGCCATCGGAGTCTATAATCAGAGGCCCGTTTAGATTTAATTTTGTAGCAATGGATTCCCAATCTGATTTAAAATTAGCTGGAACGTGACCTTTGGTAAACCCTTTTGCCAAACATGGGTTTTTTCCAACTCGGAAACCAACATTTCAAATTGTTTTGCTGTTGTCTGTGTTTTCATGGTCGACTAAAAAAATACAATGTCGTCACAATTTTTTTACGGCGACAGATATTCTCAAAAATCGAATACACGTCGACTGTTATATCGACAATGATACTACCAATCATTTGTCGCTATCGACAAACCTAATATCATCATTGTCGCCTCGAACTCATTTTGCGACGAGGACCGATTATGTCTGGAGTATTTTGGAAAGCAAGGTTGGCATTAAAAAATACCAAAGTATCGATCATCTCAAGCAAGCGCTTCGCCGGGAATGGGCCAAAATAACGCAGAGCAACATTCGTTCCATTGGTCGTTTGAAGGCCATAATTCGTGCCAACGGTGGCCAATTCGAACAAATCTAAACTTATTCTAAAATTTAATGCTATTTCCGACATTTTTTTGCTTTCATTCAAAAAAAAAGAAAGTTTAAAAATTATGGCGTTTGACTTTGTTGCATTTTTTTTATCTCACCCTGTATATGTATTTTACTTTTGTATTGAATAAAACCGTACTTAACCATTTTTGTAAGAGTCTGATATTTTTTATATATGGCTCTCCTCCTTTAAACGAAACACTTTGCAGAACTTCGATCTATATTGCTTTGAAATAAGTGTCTTAAATGGAATACATGTGTCAATGAAAAATTAAATTGAATATCTATTAAAAAAAAAACACTTGGAAATTTTTCAACAACAAAAGAAAACTCTTTATAAAAATTTCAAACTTTTTGCAAATTGAATTTCAAATTTAACTAAAAAATCTCTATTGAACTTATTACATATTGCATAAAATCAAAAGAAACAAATATTGTTTTTCGGGGAAAGAAATCATCTTGAACTTTTATCACAGTCAAGTTTTACAGAAAATTTTTGGAGAATTTTTGGTGTTCAGAGGCAATTGCAAGATTAAAACAAAGACCTTTGACACAAACAAAATGATGAGCAAAATGAACAAAAAATATGGTAAGTAATTTAATTTCTATTAATTTTGTATTGTTTCTTTAGAGAATCTTTAGAAAACTTGTGCCCAATAGAATACGGTTAGTGAGAGAATCATCTATAAGATACATACATTTTTTACGAGAACTTTTGTGATAAAAAAGTTAAAAGCAAAACGTCAAAGGACATTCCAAAAACCTTGTTTTTATAGAAACCCTCAAGAATGACTTTTTTGCCCTAGAAAGACTTCCGTCCTTTAGAAGACTGTTGAAATTTTGGTAGGCCTTGTGTCCCATTAAAGAAGGGTTTCTTTTTCCATAGCAGACATTTAGAAGTCTTTGCGTCAAACACAAGACCTTACAAATGCCTTTCATTTAGAAACTCTTAGAAGAAATTTACAGACGTTTTGTCCCGTATAAGACTTTTAGAGTAATTCCGTGCCATAAAAAGCCTTATGTCATTTGGAAGGCCTTCGAAGATCTTGCTTCTATAAAAAAGTGAATGGCCTTTTGTCCCATAGAAGTCTTTCAGAGTGTTATTAATTGTAGGGAAGCTATGATGTGATCATTTTCGATTTCAATGCCAGCCAGCTATACGAGGACGTGGACCAGCATACGAAATTTCTGTCATAGGTTGCAGCACCGATTTCGAACTTCAAATACGAAACTTGAAACAATTTCGGTAAATACAGGGTGAGATAAAAAAACTGCAACTAAGTCAAAAGCCATCATTTTTACATTTTTTTTTTTTTAATTTTATTGAATGAAAGTAAAAATGTCGGAAATATCATCAGATTTTAGAATAAGTTTAGATTTGTTCGAATTGGTCACCTTTGCCACGAATTATGGCCTTCAAACGGCCAATGAAACCGTCACACTCTGTCCAAATGTTGCTCTGTGGTATTTTGGCCCATTCCCGGCGAAGCGCTTGTTTGAGGTGATCGAGCAGTCTATTAGTGCCAAGCTTGCTTTCAAAAATACTGCAGAAACAATAGTCCAACGGATTGGTTACCGGAAATTTTGGTGACCATTGTGCGCCGGAAATGAAGCGAGGAACCTCATTTTGTAACCATTCTTGGGTGGTGCGTGCTGAGTTCTATGGTGCTGAGACATGTTGGAATGTTCAAGGTCTGCAACCAAAATTTTTGCATGTCCTAGGATTTTTAAACCTTTTTGGAATATTTTTACGATAATATTCGACATTTATTCTGATGGCACGGTCGATTATTACGAGCGGAGAGCGACCATCGGCTGTTATGCCCGCCCACAGCATCACCATGGTAGGCGCTTGAGCTCTGGTGGCCAACCGAAGATGTACATTTTCAGCTGACCTCTTTGGCAAGTAAACACGATCACTTTGTTTACAAACTGCTGGACAACGAATGTTTTCTCATCGGAGAAAACCAAATTCCGCAGTTCATCACTTTCAGCCAAGCGAAGCAACTCTTTAGCTCTTTTGAGTCTATTTTCTTTCTGTTACGGTGGAAGTTCTTGCACTTTTTTGAATTTCAATGGCTTTACACGAATTCATTTTTCAATATTTGCGAATGGATTATTGCGATATGTTCAGCTCATGCTCATGAGCCATTTTTCGGTCACTGCGGCGCGGGTTTGGAGCAAGTTGCTTCTTTACTTTTCGAACCATTTCTCCTGATGTTGCTGGTTTCTTCCGTCCACTTCCTTGACGTCGGGCTACGCAACCAGTATAAAGGTAACGAGCGATGGTACGAGACACAAAAGATTTATTCACAATTAAATTCTGGAGTGCGCTAACGATAGCCACTTGTGGTTTTCCAGCCAAATATAAAGAAATCACACTATCACGCTTGAATTCCATCACGAATAACTTTTTTTCTGGCAAATTCTCACCAAAATACTTTTGCACGCATGTAAACAATATAATGAGCTGTCACTGGAATAATTTTAACAGCTGTCGGACGGGTGGCTTAGAAATGGCAGAAGTCTGAAGTTGGTTGGTTTACTCAAAATAAACAGTGTTTTATGTGTGCTAAATTTTTCCTGCTAATATCCATTTGTAAGTACATGTTTGTAACCTCCAGCATATTATAGATCCTACGTCCTTGTGGGAATCTGTGCAAACAATTTATAACGAAGTGGTCCAAACGCTGTTACCAAAACTCGTAACAACAATGGAAATACCACAACAGCAAGTATAAATTATAGGCTACTTAATTGTAAATTAAATTTTCTAAATTATATTTTTGACCTTAAAAAGGAATACCGAATATCATTTTACATATTCTGAAGATTCAGAAAGCTCACTTTCCCTCGTCTAAGTCACGGACAATTTTCCACACAACGATTGGAACAAACTTTTAGACTGTACAGGATTCTGCATCAACAAACATTCTAAACAATATAAACTTTTTAATACTCTATATTTATTTCATCCTTTTCAAATGTTTGCTTTTTATTTTGATATTTGTTTTTTAACACACAAACATTGTATGCCATAGAAAAAATACATTTATTTTACAATCAATAAAACATTTTTATTCTGGTTTATATTTAAAAATAACTTTTATTGCGATATGTTGATTGGTTCTTATTATTGTAGTAAAAAAAATATATATACTTTTTTTGAATGTATATAAAAAATTTGTGTTTTATATTATTATATGTAAAATATGCCTAAATATAATTTCTTCTACAAAACATATAGACAAAAAATTCATCGGTCAACATAACAATTCTAAATCGATTATGGGAAGAAATTTTGTAGTAAGGCACAGACAACTTCCCATGGGACATGTAGAATATTAATTAATTTTAAATACAAGGCACACATATGGTCATTTAAAGAGTTATATAACTTTGCTACAATAATATTTTTAATAATAAAATAAACAATTTCTAAACACAAAAAAATGGACGGTATTTTAATTAACATTTGGAAAAAAAACAAACAAAATTCATTACAAGATCAGCAACAGTTTGGCAAGGGGACGAGTATAAAATTTAAATTTAAACCGAAAAAAACCGTTTGAAGAGCGGCACAATTGAGAAGAAGAAAAAACATAGAAAAATGAAACAGCAGGAGTTCCTACTTTAATTTTTTCATATTAAAAATCTTAAAGATTTCTATTGTCTTCGAAGGCTGCCCAACAATAGAGGGTTCATTGTTTTTACATATTGGTCACTCTATGGATGATAGAGTGGTTGGCTCTATTGGTGCTTATATTCATGCTTGCCGGCAGGCTGTCTGTCTGACAGTGTCTTGTCTTTTAGACTGACGATGAAAAATGTGTGAAAATATTTTGAAACAAACATCCAGGAAGATAGCAGTTGGCAGTCGGCGTTTTTATATACTCCTCTACTATTACTGGTACCACATATTTTTTTTTATTTGATACCCTTTTTTGCTGGAGGAAGGAAGATTCAGAATGAAAAAAAAATTCTGTAGAGACATTTTTTCCAACATTGCAAATGACCAAGACCAAGTGGTAAACTGGTTTTATGCAAAAGAATCTCCAAGAGGCAAAAAAGTTCTCAGGCTAAGATAAGGCAGCAGAAAAAATCATGATGATCATCATCAAATGATGGTACAACAATAAACACACAGGCCTATCTAAAAAAATAAGTGTACCTCAGTTCATAATAAAAAAAAGAAACCCCCATTCCAATCTTTTTCCCTCATTCTAATCGAGGAAGTTCGAAATTAATGCACAAAAACAAAACAGACACGCATAAAATGATATGAAATTTCTTAATGGTCAAGATGAACTAAATGGGTGGTAGTGCCTGCGACGATGCTGATCATTAAAAGAAATGTGACCATTATGGAAAGGGTGCAAATCCAAGAAGGTACCAACAAATCAACCCTCTCTGCTCTCACTCAAGGTTGTCACTGCGGTGCTCTATCCAAATAAAATTTTGTGTGTCTGCGTAAGATTGCTTGCTGCCTGGCAATCTCAAATACTTTTTTTTTGGAACATTTGATTTTAACAGGTTTTCTATTTTTCATTCTCCTTTTGTGGTTGTAGTTTCACGAGCAGCTAACTACACAGCTGTTCGTTCGTCCATTCAAAAGCAAAACTTCATGGATATTAAAAACAGATTTTGTAGCTTCATCCAAGCCAGTTAGCAGCCAGAGCACCACCAATATACTGAGAGTTGGGTGTTTACCTCCAGCTCTCTCAATGAAAGAATTTCCGTTTTGTACTTTTTTTCAAAATATTGTTGCCCTTTTTGTGCGCAAAAAGGAATACAACTGAAATATGAGCTATGAAGAGAGGCGTTGTATTTTCTCATTCTTTATTGTCTGCCATGAGAGTTTATCATCATCAAGCAGCAGCAGTAGCAGCAGCCAGCAATAGAGTGTGTATAACTTTGATCAAAAGTTATATGATGCCTTGGAAGACCACTTCTTGGGAGCACACACACACACACATCCTAAGTCCATGACAAATAATGAGATTCATTGTAATAGATTGTGTCTACAACTTAATCGCTTTGGATAAATGATGACAATGTTTTCTCTATGCATAAAGAAAAGAAGATTTTGAATAAAGTAACAACAACAAATACGTGAATAACTTTGACTCAACATTCATTTGATCTACTTGTGGTCATTCGGTTTTTATAAAGTATTTAAAGAGTTAGGCAGGAAGTCGCCGTCTACTGCTATGGTGAGAGTAGTGACAAGTTTTATTTGCGTTTACTTGCCAAACCAACTGATCTTGTATTTTATTTACTTTTTTTTGCTTTTCTCCAATGTTATTTGAGATAGTTGTTCTTTTGCACAAATGCACAGATGATTTTTGGACGGATTCGTTTTCTTGTATATTCGCACTTATTTTCTAATGTTGTAAAAAAAATACTACAAAACTACATTTATTTTCTTTGCATTCTCTTTTTGCTTTACCTCTTCTTTTTGGTGGTTCACACTTTGTCACTCATCTATACTTGTACAGCATAATAAGAGTAAATCCAAGTAGCGCCACAATTAAAGAGGTGGCTGCTTGTATTGCTGATGCACCAGCTAAGCGACATTTAAACATATCGTAACGGGATTCTTTGTCAACGACAATGTTTTGAAACTCTGCCTCAACCAACTGGCCATCATAGTAGGTGATTAAATCTTCAAATGGATATTCATAGCCTTGTTTGCATTCACATTTATAGCCACCCGTTTCATAGCCACGACCCATAATCGGTACACACTGTAAGATGAGGGGGAAATTTTATTGAATTTTGAAAAGTTAACTAAACATGTACTTACATAGGATGTTTGCTCATCGCATTTGTCTGTATTTTTAAAAGCATTTGGTTCATAATACCAATCCGGACATTGTTGTATATCCAATTGCATCATATCCATGGAAACTTGCACCACACCTCTGAAATGTAAAAAAAAAAAAATAAAGAGATTAATAAAACCGATAAAACATTATCTTAACTATATAAAATTTATAATTAAGCATGCAATTGTCATTTGGACAATTAAGATTAATGCTCTTTCTTATTTTTTATTATTGATGCTCTAATCAAAATATTAAGATGAAGAAAAGTTGAAAAAAATGATGATCAGCTGAATTACGTAGACTATGTATACGAGTAGTCTGAATGAAGTGAATAATGCATTTGTCTTCTGAATGTCTTAGATAAAGTATTGTAGCTTGCTAAGTGTCCGAGATAATATTATCCAATGACGCGGACAATGGCTGATTATGATTAGACCCTTATTCCTTCTTAAAATGACGTGGATAAATTAGTTAAACATTAGATAGAGTATTTTTGACTTGCTAAAAACGTTGATATTTTATTTATGTCTCCTAAGAGACGTGCATAAATTATACAGGACCTTAATAAATATGAAAAGGTTTTAAATAACTTCAAAAGTACTTGGAAAGGGTACTTTATGATTTCTAAAAGAAGAGGATGTAACATTTAAGACTTCGTGATGGCTTGGATAAAGAATTTATGACATCCGAAAGACGAATAAAATAGTCAATATGAAATAATAATCGGTAGTGTCTATCTTTGAAATTGTTAAACATTTGATAGAAGAGATGTAGGAGATTTATGATTTAACAATATATAATTATGTACTCCATTTTCAAACATAATATAAGTTCGATATAAATAAAAAATATAGCTAATTTGTTTGGATCAGGAACTCGTTTGCAATTATCCTGTTGTTGTTGCCGCTATAATCTTCCAGACAGTAGAAGAATATTAGCTGGTTCTGTAACGGACAATGAATAAAGATTGTGGGTTATTTGTTCCTCCAAAAATTCAAGACTCACGCCGAAAAGCATTTTACAGTCTTTGTCATTGACAGGGGCTGCAGTAGGTCTCATGACTCTATAATGATTCCCACCATAAGTTTTAGATAAATAGATAATTAGATAAATAAATAAATGATATATTCCAACAGTAGCCATACGGCTGAGGGAATAATTACTTCCTTTGAAAATGTTGACCTTGTTGTGAGGGAAGTAAGGAATATACAGATTTTGCCAATCTCTGAACTCGATTTAAAGTCGATATAAATAATACGATCTACTAAATTTAAAGAAAATTGAATACTTTCTTCAAGTGTCATTGTGCCCACAGATAGGCAGATATTTTTGCCATATTAAATGATATATACCCATGCCGATGACTTTATACAAATATATCATAAATATTTATTTTTAACCCAAATAAAAATATACGAAATTGTAATGTAAATGTAAGTTTACAACATACTATTCAGAGTTTTCTTCTTTTGCAAAGCAAAGGAAGACTAAGGCATGAATTCGTCTTTTGTGCGACCTTTTCAAATTGGCCTTGATTCACATATACTCCTCAACAACCCTTTCTCTGTTTTCTAATTCCCCAATTTTCTAAATAAAAGTCATAAGTTATAATAAAATGTCAACACTTCAACAATATAAGAACAAAAACAACAAAACATTTTCCCACGAAGGGAAGGGAATCAACCCGTCATGACATAAATGCGCGATTATACTTTTATGGGTCTTGTACAACTAATAAGTGGTAATTGAAGACAAGACTAGAAAACAAATTGGCAAAAGCCGCCTAGGACAATCAAATCAACCCCATTTAACAACAGGCCCCTTTTCAAAATCAAACTAATAAGAAAAGCGAAAAAGGTGACCCGCATTAAATAGACAAATAGGCAAAACATGTTAATTAGGGATGACTTTATCAACAGCTAGAAAAACACAATACAAAAAATAATTATACTCATTTTCACCTAAATACTGCAGAGAAGAATCCCTCTTCTTAAATTCTGACATTGCCCATGCGCCCATTTCATTAACATAACAATACTCACTTGAATTCCAGTTTCACTTTGATACTATCCCAGCCGAAAAAGGGTGCCGAATAGGTCACAAGCCATTTCTTGACATAACCATCACAATCGAATTGCGGTTGAGACCAGTATCCATGCTTCAAACTAGCTGCTCGATATGAAGTGGGGTAGTGTTCATACTTTTGCAAATATTCACCTGTCTCATTTTGACGTATCTTCATCTTTATATAGAACGTTTCTAGGTCATCAAAGTTGGTCGACCACCGTTGTTTCAAGAACTTGAAATTCTTCTTTTCCGTATAGAGTTCATGGGTTTTGTTGAGACGTGCCAAATCTTCTAGTTTGAATTTGCGTGTATTTAATTCAGTCTTATAGGCATAGGGTGCAAAGTAGGTACGGTTTGTGAATTTATTACGTTCCCAAAGTGTGGCAGCCGACCAGACCTTTGTGTCACCCAACACAATGGCCAATGTTTCACCGATCATTTGATCTTCGGTAAGTGGTTTATCGGCCACACGTTTGCCCGTGTATACTTCATTGGGATCGGAGACCTAGGAAAAGTGAAAAAAATAAATAAAGAATATGAGGAATGCTGCATGTGTATATAGACAAGTATTATCAAGCATACAGGAAATACAAAAAACTTGTTGAAACATGTGGAAAGCAACAAGTTTTGCTTGCTGCCTAGCAAGTTGTGTGTGTGCTTATTTTTTAAAGGATCTTAATTTGTAAATTTTGGTTTTTAGTGTCGTTTACTCGCTGCAGTTGTTGTTGCTGCTGCTATTATTTCTTCTGATAAAATGCGAAAATATATTTCCTGTATCATATTTACCTAGGCGAATATTTAACAACTTGTGCAAATAAAATATTTTTTCAACTAGTTTTTCTAGTATCCATTCTATTAGTTTCGTGAACAAAAAAAAAATCATTTGACACTGAATTTTTGTGCAATTTTGTCGACCATAGGTTTGCCGTTTGTCTGTCTGACTGCCTGTTGTTTCTATGAACTTTGTCTTGCCATAGAAACAAGTTGTAGAACATGAGATTAGTATAGGAGGAAGAAACAAAAATGAATTATAGAGCAGCGCAGTTGTCTTTCCTTTATGAGGCGTAAATAATTTTCATTAACACTTCTGGAGAGGTTTTGCTTTTTGAAGGGCAACTTTCAATGATGCATAAGAAAAGGTGATAAAATCATTAATATTCCTTTTTGGAGTTTCAAATGACATGCGATTTTTTGTAGAAGAAAGGTTTGAAGTTTTTTCGGTTTCTTGTAAATCATAACCGATCCACATGCTAAGCACTACATCAAAAGAAACCAATAATTACTGACAAAACTTAAGCGTTGTAGCTTATTGCATTATTGCTTAGAAGTTATAGGACATACCTGTAGGAAAGCACTAATAAAATTAGCCAAACGCACGGCCATTTTAGCTTCATTCTCGAATTGTTCCTTAGCACCGTAACTAACATCTCCGCGTAAAATCAAGTCCTGTGGATGGAAGCTATAAAAGAAAGGAATAGATTAAATTCTGTTGACTATAATGAGGTTTTAGTTTAATACTGAGAAATTCTTTGTCGTCAAAAATCCGTAAATTTCCTGTGCTTTCTTGGACTTTTAACAAATCAGTGGAAATTGTATAAATAACGTCGACTGGGCAGACAAATTTCTAACAATTCGAAACATTGTCCCGATCCTATATCGCCAAGAAGAGTCGGTTTAGCTGTGTTTCCGTCTGTGTGTGTAATTTATAGTCACTCTACAGGTCGCTTTTATGGTCTGATCTCCACGAAATTTTGCATAGAGCTAGGGTTAAGGTCGTAATAAAAGTCCATTGTTATAAGTCACAATTATGGATCAATCAACGCGGAATTATGCGTGGAGTTAGTGTTTTTGACAAGACTGAAGTCTAACCATTTTGGATTTCGTCGGGCATTTCTGACCTTTTAATCGATGCCGATTTCGTTGTTGTAGGTAGCCTTTTTATATGACATTATTTAAGAATGAAACGGACCAAAATCATTAAAAAATAAACATGAAATGTTCGAAATATTTATTATTCTTGGAAAAATGAGTTTTGAATATGTAATCTTTCCGCTTCGGAAAATTTTGCTTCTAGCTCCAAGGGGTTTAATGAAGTCGAGGGGGTTTTAAATGATTCTCGCCTTGACGGCTCTAACCATGATGCACCATTGCACCGGTGTCGCGACCCGATGCATCGGCCAGCGACTCTTTTGAATTTCCCAGTGTTTTCACATCTGTTTTTATATTTAAAAAGAACACATTACCTATATACCATCCCTTCAAACATTAGACGCCGACCTAGAAATTTCGAATGATTTTTTAAGTAGTCTAATTATATGTATACCAAGATATTGGGAAATTCGTTTATTCTATTCCAAGGATTTTATCGTAAATTATAATATTGTAGGGTATTACATGGTCGGACCGTCCGATTGTAGCCTTTCTCTTCATTTTTTGTCAGCAGTTTTTGTTTGTCTAAATGCGATGCATTTTCTCATTACACATTTTTACTCACTTTTTGCATGTCTTGTAATTGACGCCATGTATAAACTTCAATGCCTGATCAATATTTAAATTTTCCGAATGTAGGGCAGCAGCACCAGTTGTATAGTTACGATATTCCGGATGTTTGTCCAAGTACTTTTCACGTATATGGTATGGGGCCCTTTCCCATTGTATGGGGACTTTTTGCACCCCTGTATTCAAAACGGAATTGAAAAAAGGAAGAAAAAGTATTAAAAAAATGTTCTGTTTCGCCACAAGGCCAACTTTGCGGTTTTTTCATCTTCTATGTCTTCACACTTACATCCAATTTTTAAACAATCATAATCATTGTAGTATTGTTCAGCTGAAGCTCTTTCAATTATTTCGCCCAAGTACGGTCGCCTCACAACATTTGGTAATCGATATCCAGGTTTACATCGACATTGATAGCCACCCCGCCTGAAACCCCAGCCATGTAATGGTTCACATTCTGTGGTTTCTTTTTTACATCGAGCCGTGTCGGCAAAATGATTTGGTCCTTTATTACCCTCGCCTTTGGGACATTGATTTATGTCTAATCTTTCAAAGTCCATTTCAAGGACAGCAACGGCAGTGTATCTGCAAACAGAAAGAAAAGAAAGAGTAAATAATTTGTCTATGTGCGAAAAATAAACAAAAAACCTTACTTTGGATATTCAATATGTCTAAATTGTGTGTGTCTAGGATAGATGTCTGCAATTGGCACAACAGCTGAAACCAACCATTTATTTGAGCGACCACAATCGAAATACGGTCTTGTCCACTTCACTGGACCAGGATCTTCATCAGCTCCGGGTGGACCATGGAATGTAAAGGTTTCATTCGTATTATTGGCATAGCGAATTTCCACTTGATATGTTGTCTTGGTGTCATGTCGTCCCTCCACATCGTCGGGTAACCATTTTCTATACCACTCATTTATTTTATACAGATCTGAGGAGTAGTCATTCGATTTCGATTCTGGTGGATGGGCACCCAAATCCCGTACATCAAATGTATTCCAGGTGGAAATTTTTTGCAAATGTATGGGATCATTGAAATCATCCAGGCGGAAGGTACGCGGGCCAAACCTGGGGAATGTCTTGTTGAAGAAGCCACGATATGAGGAAGTGTATGAACTGTTTGGTGCAAAGTATATGGCCGAAGCGTTGATGTAGGGATTTGCTGAAACATCTGCCACCGTTGACAAGAAATAATACATCATACCAGGATCATAGGTATCATTTATGGCTGGTCTGATAAATCTCGATTGTAAAATATAACTCCAAAAGAAACTTCGACTCAAAGCCATGTTGTGTAAATGCAGCAGTGCGGTACGATTTGGAAATATGGGATTTATATTGATCTCCTTAATATCTGGTTTATGGGACACCGTATCCTCTGGCAAATACAAATCGCTAACATGTTGTATAGGACAATTGTCGCCATTCACTTTGTCATATTTAATTTTGATTTCATCAAAGGCATCTCTAGCTTGCCACTCAAATTGGGCGAACACACCTACAGCCAACACCAAGACGAAGAGCAACAAGCTCTTGCCCAGAGCACTTTGTAAAAACATTGTTCAACTGTTGGAACAGCGAACAATGGTGAGCACTTTCTGTATTCTTATTAATAAATAACACAAATAATGTAAAAAGGATTTAAATTAAACAAACATACAAAAAATAGTTAAAAACTCAACAAATACACGCCACTTTGCTTTCGCCCGTATTGACTAATTAAAGAATAGATGAATGAATGAATGAAAATGACACTTGTCCGAACTACGCCCTCAAATGATGGGCTTGAGACAGAGTGGAAATGAAACTCTGTGTCTGGCTTAAACATCAAAACAAAACAAATCGATGGGTTAGAGTTGCCAGATGCAGTTGATGGGAGAGAAAATGTTTTGTTTATACAAAATAAAATGCGAAGGATAGAAAAGAGTTGTTTAAAACAAAATTCAAATTAAATGTTTTTTTATTTAAATAAATCAATTCAAATTTAAAAGCAAATTGCAATTATTGACATCTTTTTATTGACGCCTGCGCCGCACATTTGAATGTGGTAACAATTTACATGCTTACTGAACACAGCCCATCAACAAGTGTTCATGACGTCATAGTATTTATTGTTTTGTTCCAAATCAATTGTTTCTGCATGTAAAAAGCATTGCCAAAGAAGAAAACAATGGCTCATGGAAGAAGACGTTTAATGAGGTTGGCGTTTTTAAATGGGCTATGCTTAAAGCATGGTAGAAGAATGCAGGTAGTCGCGTCGACACAGCTGCTAGGACAATGAACTGTCAATTTTTTAAAGAAAAATTATTAAAATTTGTAAAAATTCTTAGAATGTGCATATCATAAGAATGTCCGATTGACTTCCTGTAGGAATGGATTAAAGGAATGCTTACATGTTGTAAAATGCAAGAACTGAGAGAAAGTCTAAAAAATCATTGTAGCCTTTAAAAATAATCATCTTTGAGAGACCCTTGATCGTAGACATATTGCTTGTTTTTAATTTTCAACAGACCGGAAAATTTGGATTCTGTCAAAATAGAATTTTGTTCAATAATGAAATTGTTACGCTCGACATGTGTCAGTAAAATTCATTCATTTTTAAATTGTAAGATAATAAAATAAATTAGCAGTTTGCTCTCTTTTAAGTTGTACTGTTGTTTTTGTTGCGAAACACATTTTGAGTAAAAAGTTGCAAAACTGGATGATTTTCGCACGGCACAGAGTTACTACCAAATATTTTCTGCTCAAAAATAATAAATAAAAATTTATTGTAACAACATTTTTTACATTACTGCAGTTCTGAAACAAAGTTTTCAAAAATCTAGTTAAATTGTTAATTGCGTATTGTTTCATATGGCAATACTTATTACACCCTTTAGAGTATTGTCAGTTCCAACTTAGACAATTGTGGGTGTGATACCGTTCTCACACATTCCTATGAAACGGAACGAAATAAAACGTCTATTGTGAATGATCAACAAACGAATGAAAAAACAGTTTTTACAATGAATTTACCGGTTCGAAATTAAACATTTCTTAATTTTTCTTTTAAGAAAATGAAATATAAGAATATAACTAAAAACATTTTGCATGCATAAGTATCCTTGTCTATAGAATAAGTGAATGGATAATTGAATTTGTTTATGGATTAAAATTTCATTGGAGATAATTGATTGGAACAAGTCAAAAGTAAATCAGTGCAAAAAATAACCTAAAAAATTGAATTAACTGACGCCAAATCTTGTAAAGAAAGGAACATTAAAATGCTGGGTGATTTATTTGATTATTTGAGTTTAAAAGAAGAAGGTAAGATGAATATTTATATAAACCGTCATTTTATATCTATTCAATTGGTATTGTTACTACATTTACCTTAAAATCATTGCATTAGAACTTTGTTGGCGAAATATAACACAGAAGTGTCTACTTCATAAGCTTTTCATTTCTGGGACCAGCAAAAATAATTATTTCAAACAAAACAAATTCTTGTGGACGTCGACACTCCTTAAAGACATCACATCCGAAGAAGAAGGTAGATAAACGAGAGGTATATATTTTTAACCTTATATCAGGAATGAAATACTCCTTGGGTAACAGAACCGAGTAACCTAACACATCTAGACAATGTTTGTATTCCTTTTAAAGCTTATGGAAATGCTCGAGTGTCCACATGATTTCGGTTCGGCTTAACTCTAGTAATAACGTTCGATATTTGCGGTGTAAGCTATAATTTGGCATATACTTTGTGTACTCCCCAAATAGGGCCTTTTCCGAGGTTCAGAAAATAAATTATTTTGATACAATTCCGCAGTGTCTTTAATAACCAATTGTTGGACAGGTATTTTTTATTAGCTTTCAAATGATTTTTTTTTACTAAACAAGAGTTGTTGCGACGATTTAAACATACCCATCGTCGTGTCGACCTAGATGACTAAAATTGTTGGTTATATATATCAGATATTTTTACGTGATTGTTGCCAGAATTGTTTAAAGTTGGATATTTAAAGTTCTTAGGAATGCTAATATGTTCGGCAGAATGTTGTCACACGAATTCGGTATTTGATGATATTTTGTCACATTTCCCAACGGATATTGTTCAAATTTTCTATTTGGAGTTCATAATGGGTGCCTGCTCCTAGACAGAAAATTGCTTAAACAGATGTGTTTTGACATAGCTCCATAAAACGGAAATTCCAAATGCTTGGCATTTCACTAATTTAACAGCTTCTTTAATCGTTTTTTTTCCTGAATACAGTGATGAAACTCTGATTGCGTACAACCGGATTATGTTTTGTTCATTGAAATGCATATAATGGTGGAAATACTACAGAGGAGAAAATATCAGGCCCCGGTCGAGAGGCAACTACTTAATAAGAGACATACGATATTTGTTGTTGTAACAGTTTTACACAGTATTTTTTTATTTCTGCTAACCCGGTCCTAGGTCCAGGTAGTAAAATTCGGCCATTTTTTGCGGGCTGAAGCCGAAGATCTTTTGTAGTGAATGGGGTAGGTTTGATAGGGCAGCATATTGTGCGGACCTGTTTAACGCGCCGGGCAGACGTTACGCACATCTTCACCAACTCGTGCCCAAGACGAGTTGAGACGACTACACAATCATGTAACTGCATCAGTATGAATGCCACTCAAACCTACCTGACAGGCTTCTTGATCTAGAGGCTTTCTCTTATAGCCTCTCCTCCTTATATCATGTATGTCTTTCCTAACACGTCTGGGTGGGGGAGTTTTATCCAGAATATGATGGTTTTAGTGACTCCCACGTTAACACCCAAGCAGGTGCTGCAACGAGAGCATATGGTTATGCTGACGTACGGGAAGGACCTACGCCGCCTCATGTGGATGGTCCGTCCACTGGTTTCATGAGGAGGTCTGAATGCCTTCAACTGGCTAGCACTTATATTCGCAGACCACACTGGGCGGGATAGCTGATCACAGACCGACCTATCGCTTTAAAAGCGCACTCCAAGTACTGCTGACTAGCGTCTTGAGGACTTGGTTTCACTTTTAATTTTGTCGCAGTTAGCTGTGGCTTGCGCGGACGATTAAAAAATGGTATCGAATGTCGAAATATTTGGAAAGCTTAGATAGAAAGTATTTAGAATACTTTCTATTTAAAAATGTGCTATAAAACTTCTCATTTAGTCTGAAGTCTTTAAATTATAAAACTTATTTTACCTATTAAGTAGGTTCTATAAAATTGTCCTCCCTATATACTACCGATTGAAGGTATGGGCTCTACGTCAGATACATTCAAGTTCAAATTTAACAACTTCAGCGAATCCGTAAAGTATTTTTTCGGCAATGGGTCACAGTTTCCCAATCCAACCAGCGGTTCTTGTTAAAGCCATTCTCATATTAAACCTCGAAAATCTATTAGTGGATATCCGATGAAGTTTTCCCTTTACGATCTATTTTACTGAAGGCCCTTAGTTTTTCCTAGAATATTTTAAGAATTTAAACGGTTCTTAACAAACAAAAAATTGTTGAAGTTTTTTGTATATGTACCAAAAAGGCTTGTTTGAAATGTTGAGGAGTAGGTTGGTTGTATGACAACTTCCATTGAACTCATGCAAATGAAATATGAGCATCACGTGGAACCACTTCCATTGAAATGTGGCTGAGAACTAATACAATATCTGATAGACAGTTTGGCAAATTCTCTGATCGGTAAATCGATCGAATGAGAGCCATACCGAGCAGTTTGTCGCTAAATTTACTCAGGTATTTCTATTTCCAGATTCTTAAAACAATTTCAAAGTCTTGATATTAAAATCTGTATCACGTTTGTAAAAATCAAAATAACAACTCGTTTTGATGACATTTTAATTAACAACCAACACAACAACCCCCAAACAAACAATGTCAAACAAACAAGTAACCCATAATTAATTCTATACTAATTTATTTATATTGTAGGAATACAACATTTTATATGTATTACCTTCCGCTGCAGTAAAAATCGCATTTGTTTGCTTTTTCACATCGCTCCTCAAATCAGGCTTTGTAAATTAATTATGACATCTGTTTTTGTCTGTGGACATTATGCTTGGCTTAATTGATGTCCCAGACAAACTAAAGTAAATAAAACACATTTTTCATTCCCGGTCAAAGCAAATCCCAATGACATGAATGAGAATGCGGCGTTACAACGCGGAAAACTAAAATAACTCCAAACAATGCCAAATGGTAGTTAACCATCCATCGCTATGTTCATATGAATGTTGCAAGCACCTTCACCAACCAACCAACCAACTCTGTGACTAGGGTGGGCCTTTGCTTCTTTGTCTTGTCATAGAAATGTGGACACAGACATACACCATCACCGCATGGAAGACCCAGCAGTCGAGAGTGGAAGTCGTAGGGTCATAAAAAAGTAAAATATCATCCTCTATTCGGTTGTCTGCAATCTCCATGGAGTTGGAACTACTGCGCCAGGCAGGGATATAACGAAATAAAAAGTAGGAAAGAATAAACGAACATGACATCAAAGGAAACACATGAAAAACATACAACATAAGGACCTATGTTTCCTGTTGGCTATTTTTGCTTGTTCACTTTTTTATGTTGTCGGTTGTTGTTTTGTAGAGAAAAACTCCTTCAGAGCATACAAACAAACAAACGAAGGAAAAAATACTTCATATAAAAGGAGCAACGGACAGGATATAAAGTAAATTACTTGACGTATTCATGTTAAGGTGTAAGACGAAAAACGCCATGGC